GGGGGGGGGCCCCCCCGGGGGAAAAAATTTTTCCGCCAGGGGGTTCCCCGGAGGTTCGTTAAGATTTATGGGCAAGCAGCCCGCGCGGGGGGCCCCTTCAAGGGGGCCGGGCGGGCCCGCAAGGGGGGCACGCACGTCCACGTCTCGCTCTCGCCCCGCGCCGCCTCGCTCCGCTCCCCTGGTCGAACGCCGGTCGGGCTCCAACCTGCCAAAGGGCCAGCAGCAAAAGCGGGCCAAGCGCACGCACGGCGACTCGAGAGAGGCGCACGGCGAGGCCGCGGTGCGCAAGCGCCGGGTCATCGTCGTCGACGACGACGACTTTGAGTGATGCGGAGGGACTGGGGTCGGATCGGATGATGTACGTTTTTGCGCAGTACGTATCTCTCGCTAGAGCTTTTAGAGCCGCGGCTGTCGTGTCATATGTCTGTGTACGGTGTATTGCTTCGTTAAACAATGTTACGTGTCTCTTCAGAGACACGTAACAAGGGCATGGATAGAGCCACATCTTCGAGGGTACACACTGTGTTTAACACACACATCAATTTTCTATACACGGCGTCGAGGTGCCAGCGGGCGCACAGCCACGCCCACGGCAGCCACGCCCACGGGCCCCGACGCTGTCTCACGACAACTTCCTCACAGGGAAACGAGCTGCCGTGGCCAACCCAGCCACAAGGAGCCCCATGCTCACCGTCTGATAGCCCGCCGCGAAACCTAGCTGGCTGCCGACAGCACCACCGACGCCTGCACCTGCCACAAGTCCGATAAACGAGGAGGTGTTCTGGAGCGACATCGCCTGCATGACGAGCGACGGCTTCTCCTTGAGCACCTTCTCCTGGATCTGAGCCGCCAGGGTGGGCGTCAGCACGCCTAGCCCGAGCTGCGCGCTGCAGAGCGCGCCCAGGATGAGGGTGGCGTCGCCGAGAGCGGGCTGGGCAGCCATTCCGACCGCCACCGTCGTTGCGCCAGCACCGATTGCGAGGCGGGGCCCGACACGATGAGCGAGGGCGCCCATCTGGCCTCCGGTGACGGCGCCGACCACAGCGTTGGCGGCCAACATCGAGCCGATCGCGCCCGTGCCGAGCCCAAGCTCGTCGCAGAGCAGCAACGGAAGCAGGGTCATGTTGGTACCCGCGAGCGAGCCATTGGCAACGGCGGACATCACGCACAGCGCTCCGAGGTCCGGGACGGTCGTCAGCACCTCGCGCCAGCTCACAAAGGCGGTGCGAAACAGCTGCAGCGGAGGGTCGATCGGCTTCTGGTCTCCCGGCGCCACATCGCGGTAAATGCGCCCGAACACCAGCGCGGAGCCGGCAAGGCCCAGCCCGACCCCTGCAAATGCCGCTTGCATGCTCACGAGGCTTCCCAGAAGCCCGCCCACCGCGGGCCCAAGGGCCATCCCCGTGTTGCGCGCCTGCATCAGCAGCGCCATGTTCTTTGTGCGGTTGAGCGGGGTCCCAATCTTGACCACGCCGGCCATGTTGGCCGCAACGATGCCCGACAGCGCGACGCCACCGGCCAACCGGCACGCAACGAGCTGCTCCAAGGAGTGCACAAGCGCGACCGCGCCCATGGAGGCGCCCATGAGCACGAGGCTGCCGACGAGGATCTGCTTGCTGCCTCTCCTCGCCACTACCTCGGTCATCGGAATGGTGCAAAGGACATTCGAAAAGAAGAGCGCGCCGTTGGCGGCGCCAAAGCCGGCAGCGGTGATCCCGAGGTGGGCCACGAGCTGCGGCTCAAACGGGACGAGGATGCCGAACGGCAGCGCGGTCAGCGCGATACCGCCGCACAGCTGGTACGCCGCCGGGTGCAGCTCCTTTCCGAGCGCCGTCGCGTGCCTGTTGAATTCGTCTCTCTCTATCGTCTTGGACTTGTCATCGTCCCACAGCTCCATGAATCGCTCCGTCATGGCACCGAGATCCGCGTCGGATAGGCCCTTTCGCGCCGCATACCCCTGAAACGCCGTGCGCACCTCGTCAATCGAGAGGCGATCGTCCATGTTCTTATCCAGCCGGTCGAAGGCGTCATTCATGTCCGCTTCAGAGAAGGAGCCCAGCTTGAGCGAGGCGAGCAGCGAGTGTGCGTTGTAAGGGTCGGTGATGAAGAGGCCGGTGGAGCTCGGCCGAAGGGCCGTGCTCAGGTTCCGGCTACATAGTCTTGAGGGTCTCGCTAGTCTGTGCACGGAGGAGCAGACGGCTCTCGCACGCAGCGTTCGGCCGCGAAGACGCATTTGGATCTACTCTTGTGAGCTGTGAACGACGCACTTGCCCAAATCCGCTAGGTTGGGCGTGCTTTCACAGCCTCACGAGAGTAATTTGGATCGGACTGCAGCTCGGAATTCTTCATTCGTCCGGGGTGGTGTGGGGCGTGCAGTGTAGTGTTCATTAGCTCCGAGTAGAGGGGGCGTCCTGCCTGCAGTTAAGGGGACACCCGGTACGCGGGGCTAACCCTCGGAGACCTGTGTTTACTTTATGGCCCTCTTCCTGCGAACGCGCACCCCCCCTAGGGGTCAGGGCTCTCTAGCCCGTAGCCCGATCCCGATCATCCGGCCCGCTGGGTGCGCTTCTTAGCTCCCTGGCCCTGGATGTGAGGCTAATCACTGCACTCCAAGTGCTCCAAGTGCGTCCTGAATGCTCGTGGGTGCCCGACACCAGCTTTTTGTACGATGGCTACCATGCGTGCGTGCTGCTCCCACCTGGACCGCCCTCGCTGCCGCCGCCGTCCGCCCCGCCGCCCTCGCTGCCGCTGCCGCCGCCTCCGTCACCGCCGCCGCCCTCGCCGCCACCGCCCTCGACACCACCTCCATCAGCGCCGCCACCGCGGCCGTCGCCGCCGCCGCCGTCGCCCCCGCCGCCGTCGCCCCCCCCGCCCTCTGTGCCCCCGCCCGAGGTGACCAAGTGCGAGGGCTGCAACAACATCAACGGGCCAGGCGAGTGCTCGAACACCTGCGGCGACGCAGCCGGGCTCTGCTCCAAATGCGACGGCACGCTGGGCACACCGGGGGCATGCTGCCAAAAAGGGGAGGCCGACGATCCTCCCGAATGCTCGTGGGTGCCCGACACCAGCTTTTTGTACGATGGCTACCATACGTGCGTGGTGCTGCTCCCACCTGGACCGCCCTCGCCGCCGCTGGGGCCAGTGTTAGCGAAACGGACTACATCGCTTTGGTGGACAACGGAGATAGCACCGTCACCGTCAGCGTCGTCAGCTCGACCGTGACTGATACAGCCGTCTTGGCGGCAGCCGAGCCGTATATTTTTGGCGTCGTTGAGCTCCACCCTGGAGGTTGACGTCACCTTCACCTCAGCTCTCGAGGCAGCGACAATCTTTGTCCTTTCGCCTCCGCCGCCAGCGCCGCCCGCTGCTCCTTCGAACGGCTAGGTGGTACTGTTTGTGCTCTATTTATTTTATTGGACACAGGATAACAGAGTGCGAGGAGCTCCCCCCGGCCGTGGATGGATGTGCGGCAGCCGGCGCTCCACACCAAGTGCCAGCTCAGCAGTTCCCTCGCCCCCTGGGCAGGGGGTGGTACCCCGTGAGGCCGTGAGCCGTGAGTGGGAGTGCCTTGTTAGGAGTCGAGCGGATCCGAAAAATCGTGCCCGCCGTCTTAGTCCCACTTCCTCTGGTACAACCATGGAGCATGGTGTTAGTCGGGGCACAACAGTCTGCACACAAACTCACCTATGGAACACACGCCATCACAGATTAGTACATTGGGAAGTGTGGAATGCAAATTGCCAAACTCCCGCCCCCCCCCCCTCTGACGGCGAGGGAAGCAACATCGCAGGACAAATCGACGAGTTGTCGAACAGACAAACATCAGCCAAACTATGAAGGCAAGGCGGTGGCGACGAGACCAACATATTTTTTGTGAGTCGCTGCATCATCGTTTTTAACGCGGCTCGCTGCAAGTGTACACGTTCCAAATTATGCTTGCACAGCTACGCTCCTTGTTGTAGTCATCGTGCTGTATCGAGGTCTTTGATATCCAATTATGTTTGATATCCACTCACTCTTCCTGCCAAGCTTGCCTCGGTGACCACGTGAATATGAGTGCACGTCGTGCTTTATCGCCAGCAGGGGCAGCCAGAACTCCATTGCGATGAGAAAGCCTGCGGCGTAAGTAGCTCCTTCCAGGACGAGTGATTCCCACAGCGTGTATGTTGACGACTCACCATCTCCCTCCGAGCGGTGGAAAGAGCCGAGGACGGCCTTTACTGCGCCAGCGCCAGGGGCGAGAATCAGAATGACGGGGATCAGGGACGACCAGAGAGGAGCATCGGTAGTCAGCTCAAAAAAGCACGCAGCGCTCGACGCCCAGATGGCCACGAGCAGCGTTTGGACATAGCCTGGCAGAGAACACGTGGATGGAGAACACCAGCTTCCGAGCAGGCCTTGAACGGCATATGTGCTCCATCCGACCAGAAACGGGCCTGGCCAATCTCGCAAGCGTATCTGATAAAAGATAAGTGCAAAACACTGGAGCGGAATGGTCATACCAGCCGAGGCGAGCAACCAGTTATCGGTGGCATCAGTGCTCGCACACGTGATGGATGGCGGAAGGGAGGAAATTGGGCCTTCTTTTCCGTACAGGTTGGTGCGCTCGCCTTCGAATGTCGCCTCCGTCTCCCAATTCCTGCCCAGAAATTGCCAGCCAAATGTTAGAAATATTGAGATCAGTATGGCGTTCACCAGCCCCTTTGTCAACCGAGTGGCGCCATTGGTGACGGCACCAAGTCGCAATTCGTGCACTCCATAAATGAGTTGAGCCCCGGGCAGCCAGATGATGAGCGTGCCAAACATAATGTACGATGCTTTGCACTGCTCCATCACGACCCACGAATTAGCGATTCGCCAGAGGAGGGGAGTGAAAACGCCAACCGTAAACGATACAACGGGGACCTCGAGATGCGGCCGGTCGAGCACCCAGATCAGCAAGAGCGCGGCCATCACGAAAAGCGCCAAGACCGCCCCTCCCAGCATGCTCTCGTAGTCGCCACCGTACACACTAAAGGGGGCGACCGTGCAGACCATCTCTAGTGCAAACATCTTCACGAGCCTCCCAAACGGCTCCTTTCGCTCCTCGACCTGATCCAGGACGTACAGACAATTCCGGATCGGCGGCCTCTGGACGGCAATGACCTTTGCCACTGAGCTGATGTCGCCCATTGCACTGAGACTGAAGTCCATACCGCAGCCTACGTAGTGGATAGGGCCGCTTGGGTCCAGCTGCGCCGTGACAAATCGGTGCCCGACCTCCACGACTGCACGGTCAAGTGAGAGCGCCTCGAGAACTGCTGCAACGTACGCCTCAACATCGACCGTACTGTTGCCGTTAGCCGCAAGCAGACACGACAAACGCAGCACCAAAATCGCGGTCTCGGCAAGCGATCCGCTTCCGTCTGGCAAGTTTTCGCCAGGTTGGTAGCATCTCCGGATGCACGCCTCGGTGATGTTTGTGTTTGGCCCGAGTATTCGGAGGCCGCCACGCTCGGGAAGCTCTTCCTGCTCGCTAACCGACTTGAACAAGTCTGCTGCGGACATTGGGCGCCCAAGCTCGATCCGAACACCGCGGCGTAAGATCGTCGCTATAGAATCGCGGGGAGCGCACCGCACAGGGAGACGCCAGCAGCCGCGTCTGTGATTGAAGAAGACGGCGACGCCCACGTACAGTACCAGCGGAATGATGAGGATGCAGTTGAGTGACAAAATCTGAAACCACGTCCATGGGTACGCCCACGACATGCTGCCCTCCGCTCGTTCGACGCCGGGGCGGGCGCCTGGCGGCGCCGCTGCGCAATGGCGCAGGCCAACTGTACCCCCGGGGTATATGGAAATTCAAGAAAAATGTTTCCCAGCAAAGTACTTTCCAGAAGCCGAGTACTCGAAGGCTGCTCCACAGTTTGCCTGCCACCTGGTCTTCCGTGTTGAAGGTGTTCGCATCGGAGTTAGTCGTGGGCATAATATGTGGGAGTCGACTGACCAGTCAGTGTCGAGGATGGAAAAAGAAAGAAAGAAAACAGGCAACCCAAGGGAGGGATGGGAGGACGGTACGCCGCCACCACACAGGGATTTTAGGGGAGAAGTGTGGTGTTAGCCGTCGCCCACCCTCGGGCGTCTACCACTTCCTATCTCTCTCCGCAGTTTATCACCAATTCTTGCAGCGACCTTCATGCCACCTCGCATTCTTCTCACTCTCGTCGTTCTCTCTCCTGCTGTCTCTTCCCCTGACTCATCGCTCTCCTCGGCCTCGTTCTGAGACGCCGCTGTCGAGGATGGGGCCTGTGGTGATGAGCAAGCTAAAATCTTTTTTCAAAAGAAATTCCCCAGGAACTCACTCACTCACCGCCTCGACACTCCGGCTGGCGATGTCGCAGGCGTGCGCCACTCGCCACTCCTGCTCCTCCGTCGTTGCTGCCGTTTCGCACCGCGGCCGCGCTGCGTTCTTACGCCGCTTCTCGTCGGCCGCCCGCGCGCCACCCGTCATCGACCTCTCGCCTCTGCGCGACGGCGGGCTCTCCTCCTCGTCGCCGCTCGTTCGCGAGGTGGCCGACGCGTGCGAGCAGTGGGGCTTCTTTCAAGTGGTCGACCACGGCGTCGACGAGGACCTATGCGCGCGGGCGGAGGAGCAGCAGCGCGCCTTCTTTGCGCTGCCGATGGAGGTCAAGGAGTGCATGCGACGCTCGGCCGACAACAGCCGCGGCTGGTACAACGACGAGCTGACAAAGCAAAGGCGCGACTGGAAGGAGGGCCTCGACTTTGGCAGCACGCCTCCGATGGACTGGTCGCTCGCCGACGCTGACGCTCGCAACGGCACCCTCGACAGCAGCAGCTTCCCTGGTCGGAACGCTCCCGCCGACGCTTCTCGGAACCTTCCCGTAGGCACCCTCGACGGGTACAACCGCTTCCCGCCCGCCGACCTGCTGCCGTCCTTTCGACCGACGATGCTCGAGTACTACGACGCCCTCGCCGGCGTCGCGACGGGGCTGGCGCGCCCTCGGGGAGATCTAGGCATATGTCACAGGAAGGCATGCGCCAAAGCGAGAGGCCGTGAATAGGCGCGACTCTTCTCGCTTGGGCTCGGCGTGCCAGCCGAGACGCATCGAGCTGCTCCTCGGACCGTGTCCGAAGCTTCTCGGACCCTTCCCGCAGGCATGCCCGCCGACTTCTTCGAGCCGTACCTGCGCCGCACGCAGCACACCTCGTACTTGCGCCTCAACTACTACGCGCCGTACACGGGCGAGGACCCGACCCAGCTCTGCATCTCGCCGCACAAGGCGGGGTGGATGCCACCACCGACGCTCCTGCGAGTGTGACTCCACTGCTCTGCGTCTCGCGCGCACTGTAGGACGCGGGCTTCTTGACGGTGTTGCGCCAGGACGTCGGCTGCCACTCGCTTCAGGTGAATGCACCACGGGGAGCAGCACTCCTGGGGGGGGAGGTCGAGGACGACAATCACGCCCCCTCCGAGCCGTGCTAGCACGCGCGTCACACCGACTGACCACTCGCTGCAGGTTCGCGACCGGCAGGCGCCCGACGGGTGGGTGACGGCGCCGCGCATCTAGATGCAGACGGCACTGCAGAAGAGGCACTGCCCCGACCCACCCCGGGCCACAGCTTGTATTCACCGGGCCGCCCCTCCTCCCTCCCCGCTTCACCGGGCCGCCCCTCCTCCCTCCCCGCTTCACCGGGCCGCCCCTCCGCCCTCCCCGCTGCAGGTGCGGCCGGAGCCGGCCCGTTTCGACCTTCGGCGTCGGGCGGCACCAGCCCCCGCCAGCTGTCCCACGTTGAGAGGCCTTCCCCCTAGGCCGCCTTCACCATCAACACGGGCGACATGGCGCAGATCTACAGCAACAACCGCTACCATGCGCCAGAGCACCTCCGAGATGTCTCCCCCCCGCCGAGATCACCCGAGAGTCGCCGAGAGTCGCCGAGAGTAGGCGCCCGAGCACCGCGTGCTCACTTCGCCGAGCACGCCGCGCTACTCGGCCCCCTTCTTCTACAACCCGGCATACACCGCCGCCGTGCAGCCGCTGCCTTCGCTCGGCGCGCCGCACTTCGACCGGTGCGTCTGGGGCTACTTCCGGGCGACGCGCTGCGCGGGCGACACTGCCCACTCTGGTGAGTTGTCATTTGGGTCGACGATGCTGACTTAGGCGATGCGTTTCGCGGGCGATTTTGCCGACTACGGCGAGGAGATCCAGATCTCCGACTTCGCGAAGGGGAGCGGCTCGTGGCACGTGAGCAATCAGTCGCGCTTCATGGCCGAGGTCGATTTCGACGCGTCGTTCGACGTGGAGGCGATGCGGCCGCTGCTGACGAGGAGCAGCGCCTGAGACGCATAGGACTTTCGCGCGCGACCGCCCGGATTGCCGCTATTTACTAGTATTAATAGGACTGTGGGAGTCAAAAGAGGAACGCTGTCGAGTACGTGTCGATATATGATCGTTCGTGACATCGCATTGCTGGGCCATATCGATTTATCGTGCGGGCTGCGGGAAAAAAACCGCCAAATATGAAATAAGTAATAACCGGTGAAACACGCCCCCGCCTCTCCACCGTCCACGGCGGGGGGCGCGTTGTGGACAGAACTGCTAGGGTGCTAGTGTCCACCGCAGGACGAGCGCTCCAAGCTACAGGCCACCAGCCTGGGCGCCATCATGCGAGTCACAGGAGCGGACAGCTCCGTCGGACTCAGGCGAGGGTCAGGGAGCGGCCCCGGCCGGAGCTGGTGGACTGCTAGCGGAGCTTCGTGCTGCCGAAGGTAGAGTTGGGCGCGCGGGCTGACTGTATGCGAGCCCCAAACCCCCTGGCGCTGTACGTTCCGTAGTCGAACCATAAACGCAGAGGGCGCAACGGTGGGTGCGAGGAGGCGCTTCTCCGATTCCGTAAGAAGGGGGGGAACCTCCGCGCAAGGAGGCGCAGCATGCGGCGGGATGTTGATACTTTAGTACGTTCGAGTAAGAGACCGCGAGATCAGGGAGATCGTGCTCTCTGGAGTACGTGTACGCGTGTCGCACATGCGCGCGTTCGCTCATCGTCACTTGTTCGCCTGCGCCCGGCCCGCGCGCGTTCCAGCCGCGTTCCAGGTTCCACCGCGCCGGCTCTGCCTCTGGAACGAGTTATGGAGCGAATCTTAGCGACTAACACTAAAGCGCGACTAACAGCGTTCGAATCCACCACGTGCACGTCCGGATTAGTCCGAACCACCGAGAGTCGGCCGCAACCGTCTCCGCCGCCGCCTGAGAAGAGGAGGCTCCCCGCCCTCCCTTCCCGCCCCGGAGGTACTGGAGCACGTGGTCCCAGAGGAGGGACAGGTCCCCTTCCTCCGCCGCGCCAAAGGGGACCTCCTCCGGCCGCAGCACCGCACGCCAGCCGTCGCGCGCGCTGCCTTGCGGTCGCCGGAGAAGCATGCGCCGCCCGGACGAGTTTGACCCGAGGCGGCGGCCCTTGACCCGCGGCGGCCGCCGCGAAAGGCTCGCGGAGAGAGGGGCGGAGGAGGAGGGTCGAACTTCCCATAGTCGATGCGCGCACGTGCAGCGTCGCGCGCCCAGCGGGCAAAGGATGAGGCCGTGTCCCAAGCATGCATGCCCACGTACTTGCGCTTCTCAGCGTCCGCCCACTGGTTGCGAGTTGTCCGACTTGGGCATGATGAAGTAGTCAAACGGCCACGGGTGGCCACCGAGCTTGTCGCTGATGATGTGGTCGACCGCCCACTCCGTCTCCCGCAGCCAGCGCGGGATGAAGTCTGGGTTCTTCTTGAGCCAGTTCTTCACCTGCGTGCTCGACATGCCGCCCGTCGTTCCATGCTTCTCCTTGGCGTACTTGATGAGCTCGTGCATGTCGCCGCAGTACGAAGTTGGCCACTCCTCCTTTTGCGCGTTGGCCAGCCCAGCTCGGGCCGCCACTCCTCCTTTTGCGTTTGGCGCGGCGCAGTGTCGGCCACGTCAGCTGCCGCGGGCTTCTTTGCTGCGGCGGGCTTCTTTGCTGCCGCGGCGGGCTTCTTAGCTGCCGACGGCTTCTTGGCTGCGGTCGGATTCTTGGCTGCCGACGTGTTGGCTGCCGTCGGCTTCTTCACTGCCGTTGGCCCGGAGCCGAGGCTGGACGATCGTGGTGGCAATCCCATGCTGCTCATGCTGCCGTCCACGCGTCCGCCCGCGGCCGTGCCAATGCGAGTTGCCTCGGCTATCACCCCGAAGCATCCACACTTCTCTGCGATCCCGCCACTGCCACCGAACAAGCTGCCACTTTCGTAGAACTGCGCAAAGTCGTTGAGTGGCTCATTGTTCGCCGGCTGCTTGGGCGGCATTGTGGAGACGGGCACACAGCCCGCAAGTCCACGTGGTCTTGCGTGTGGGAGGGGACGGCCGTTGAAGGCAACGAAGAAAAAGCGCAAATGTGTCACACCTCGACAACAACCTCTCTCACCTCGACAGTGTGGCAAGTGCGTCAGGGCAGAGTCAGCACGGCAGAGCAGGGGATATATTTTGATAATTCAGGATGAGGTGAGGAAAATAAAATAATTTGTAAAAGAAACGAAAAGGGCACGGCGATGTCCAAGGAGCCGCGAAGGAGTCGACAAAAAGAGCGGCAAAACATGCAGCACTCAGCCTTCCCTCCCCCTCCCGGATGGAAGTACTACCTGAGCTCGACCGTGCTTAACTTCGCTGTTCAGATGGGAAGCGGTGACCCACGGTGATATGGCCGCATGTGACATTACATGCGCGCGGGAAGTTTATGAATGCCAAATTTGTAGAAAAAGATGTCTGGGAGGTATTTTTAGTATGGAGGATGTTGAGGTGTTTGAAATGAAGTGGTATGTGCAAATAAATTAAAAAATTCGAAGAGGCGTCACGCGTGAGGCGTCACCCTGAAGTCTGCCGCGGGAAAAGAAAAAGGACCGCCTTCCACCGCTCCGCGACTCGTTACAGACACACAGCCCCTTCCCCTTCCTCAAGGGCGAGGACACGCGCAGGGGTCGCACTTCTAGCGAGGCCCACAGAGTGGGAGACTCCTATCACCGCCACTGCCACCCACGTGTCAGTCTGCCTGTGGTAGAAGAGACTGCCGGTGAGACGTCGGAGGAAGGTCGCTAGTCGAGAGAGATCGCCAGTGGATAGGGAGTCCACCGTGCTGCGAGCCTGTCGCTGTCCCTTGTCAGGAGCAGGAGAACTAGGAGAGCGCAACCAGTAGGAGGCCCGCGCTTGCCCCCGTGCCGCCGGGTGCAACCTGTCCTATACGAGAGATGGGATTCCTGTCGTGAGGGTGATCCCCCTGCCCAGCCCCCCTCCGTGTCGCGATGCGCTCCCCGCTCCCGTTCCCCTGTGTCCCTGATCGTCCTACAAGATCCTGCTTGTGCAGGTGGGGACCCTGTCCTTCTCCCACCCCTCGTTTGGCGTGTCCGTTGTATTTATTGCGTTGGAGGCCAAGCTCGAGCCGGGAGCCTGCGCCAGCTGCGCCATGAAGCCTTCCGCGTCGGCTGAGCCGAGGGACGGCGCGACGTAACCTCCGCTCATGCCTGCGCCGCGCTGCGAATCCGTCTCTCCCGGCGGCGCCGCCGCCGGCGCCCTCCGTCTTCGTCTTATCGCACGGGGTGGATTCAGTGAAGAAGAAAACGCAGTAGCCCAAGTTGTTTGGTGCTCCCATCCCTCCCTTGGGGTGTCTGTTTTCTTTCTTTCTTTTGGTGTGTCCATTTTATTTATTTATTTATTCCCTACCATCTCCTAGTAGAGGTGTCCGTTTCATTTATTCGGGCCTTCTTGATGAGCGAGTCGTGCTTCGCGGCCGTCGCCGCGATTCCCGTGCCGCCGCCACGGAAGGTGGCACGTGCTTTTGAGAAGCCCACTTTGCGGCCTTTGCCGCTTGCCCACCGCTTGGCTTCGTCGACGGGCGAGTGCCTTACCACACTCGCCTCGGCGTTACTCGAAGCTGCGAGCTCAGCTGCGGCCACAAGAGCGGCCTGCTTGGCACGCAGCTGCGTAATCGTCGGCCCGCGTGCGCGGCTCTTCACGGCCTGTGCCGGCGAGTTGGCGTTCACGCGCTCAATCATCATCGTCATGGCTGTGTCTGTCTCGCTCGCTCGTGCGTCCTTGGAAGTTGTGCCCGCCTCCTTCTCCTATGAGCTCGTATGCCACGTCGCCGCCTGTGTTTGGGTTTCTATGTTTGCGATTTGGAATTTGGTATTTGTCCAGCTCTTTGTTTATTTATTTATTCGTTGACGTCGCCGTCCGAGAGATCGTCGCCGCCGCCGCTCTCCCCGCCGCACCCGCCAGTGCATCCGAGACACCGTCGTCCAGAGATATCGTCGTCCAGCGACAGCGTCGTAAAAAGACATCATCGTCGAGACATCATCGTCCCATCGGTCGTTCCGAGCCTCCTCCATATGCAGCCTCGCCCCCGGCTGCCGCTCCCCTCCCTTTTCACGCTGCTCGCGCTCGCACTGCCGTCCGCCTCGCCGCTGCACGTCTTTACGTGTCGCCACACGTACGAGAGCACGCTCGCAGAGGAGCTCGCGAACGCTGGCGTTCCTGCGGCCGCCGTGACCACGGTTTGCCCCGCGGTGGTGAGCGTGAGCGGCGAGCTGCCTGCGCTCGACCCCACCTACGCGCTGCAGTGGCTTCCCTGTGCGGCTGAGGTGCAGGGCGCTTCGGTGCGCCTCCTCGCCGACGCTGCGGTGGCCGCCTGCGGCGACGCCCTCCTCGGCGAGGCGCCACGCGGCGCGCTCGCGGTGCACGCGCTTGTGCCCGACCTGCTAAAGGGAGGCCGGACACCTCGACTGCTGCGGCGCTGCGAGGCCATCGCCGACAGGGCGCTGGAGAGGCTGCGCGTGCGCCACCGCAGCGCGCGGCCTCTCGCGGCTGGCGAGGCGCTGCCGGGCGACGCGCCGCGCCTGCTGCTGCAGCTGCTGCTCCTCTCGCCGGAGAGGCTGCTGGTGTCGCTCTCGCCCTGCGAGCAGG